TATGCAAATTATATTTTATAATCACAGATATCTATACTCTAAGTTCCAATGAACTATTCTTGCAATCATCCCAATGTATCACTGAACCTTATTCTTAGATGAATAAAGGTCTAATGCTTCTCTCCTCTTCTCTTGTAATATGTATTTCTCAAAATAACCTTGCAAATACAACATGTTATTTGGAGCCCTAAACATACCATAGTGTTGAAACATTAAAGCCAAGCAAAGCACACATATCAAGTTTCTTCCATTAGACTGATGTAATTAATGCCATGGTAGAACTAATATATTCAACTTTATCTCACACTCATAATTGGATCCCTTTAAATCCTCTTTATATCCATGCATGCATTGAAGTAGGAATTAATTTTGTATATCTATTTTCATTCAATTATTCAAAACTGACTTCACTATAAAATTCTTATAAACTCTATATTCAATTGTGATCCATAAATATAAGCCAGAATAATGTATTATTAATTTTAAATAGCATGACTTCTAGTCTCTCCCCCTTCATCTCCCTCAGAAGATAAACATAGAATTAAATAGTAATGCACATTAAATCACAAGCTCATGTTTTAAAGGCAAATGATTTTCTTATTTTCTGATACCAATTCAGCAAAAATATTTTTTCCCAGTTTTAACATTTTGTTATCATGAAGACACTGGTATCAAATTCATTATCTTATCCTCAGCACCTGCACAATCTATATAAAATGCAAACTAAGCATCTAATTATAGACCTAAGACATGACAGCGAGGACCTAAGGAATAAGGTCTCAGGAGGACCACAGTGCACTGAGTCCACTGGAGTTTCTGTGTGACCTTTTCTTAGCATATGTGACTGTTTTCATTAGTAGAGCTCACTGGCCTAGCAAGTGTCTCAAAAGCTAAGCAGAGCTCAGAGCAGGCTGTGTGCTAAGGAGACATTTGGGTTTAGGTGTGGGGCTCAGTAACAGAGGAAAGCCATGAAGGCATCACTCTAACTTCCCAACTGAAACCTATAAGGGGACACAGTACCTAGATAGGAGCCAGTGAAAACCCAACAAGCCCTTGCTCCATAAGGATGTCTGCCTACAGCTTATATGCACCCCAGGAGAAAAAAAATCAATGCTTTCTTGGTAAAAGACTTACAGCATCCTGACCATATTCCTTTATGTATTACCACAACAGACACTGTAGAAATGTTAGTTATGACTCAACAGCAAAGGGACAGACATAGCACCAAGCCTTTCCCCAACACCATTCAATGGCCACCTGTTGATTAAGTCCAGTCCTTACAAGGAGCTTACAGAATTGTCATGGCTCATTCCCCTGCTTGTCATGCTCCTGTGGACTCTCAGATGTTGAGGCAGGACTAAGTGGGACCAGGAGGGTGGGAAATGTCACAGAGTGGTATGCAATAAACCTTTGGCAAGAAGGGTGTTGGTAGTTAATGAGTGGCATTGTTGTTCTCAAGAACCACATCTGTGGGAATTATTTGATCCTTTGTGGGCTTAGAAATAATGGTCTCTCTCTTACTGTCACTGCCTTATGGAGGCAGATGTGTATACTTCATTCATGTCTGCTGTTTGCATTGTACTTGCTGCTTATGAATTTTGTTTTACAATTGAAGTAGCCATTCACATACATTAAAAAACAGAGCTATTCATGTTATTTTGACCCAGCACTATTTAAAATCATGCTGCGGTTTCAGTTGGCTGAAATGACTTTCCACCAACAATTCATCAATTACGATAGAAAGTCTTATATTAAATCTCACCCACCGATGGCTCAGGGACCATTGAGGAAGAGGAGGCAGAAAGAGCTGGGGTTGGTGCATGACCATAAGGAAATAGTCTTCCAGGCCTCTGGGAACTTGCTCTATGAATCTACAGCAATGGTATCAGCATGCACAAGACCCATGTAAACTCAGGCAAACAAAAGCCCAGCATAGACTGGAGAAATGGGCAGCAGGTCCCAACCCTAGCCAAAGAACTATTGGTAGCTGATTACTGCTAGGTGAGGGAGAGTTTATTGTCTTTAAGGGAGAAACCCTAGTTAGGCCAACTAGATTCCAGTGGATAAACTTGCATTGAGAGACATCTGGACACACAAACTTGACTAGATAGGACTTAACATATATGGCAGAGTGCATGAAATCTGGTGGGGGGGTTATAGGAGGTACAGATGGGGGAAGAGATATAAAGATAATTAAGATGTTTTATATGAAATTCACAAAAATTTAATAAGAAATATGAAAATAAAAGTCTTTTGATAACACTGCCAGACTTGGGAACTTACACAGTGTACTTCCTGTTTCCCATAACCACTGCCCTAACCTAAGAGAACTTCAGAATGAAGTTCAAGGAAGGAATGTAAGTCACTCCATTCTGAATTAGTGCAGAATATGTAGAAATATTGTTATATATTATTTAATTTTAGCCTGTTGAGTACCAGCATAGAAGAATTACACATTTAAGCACAAAAGATACTTTTGATAAAATAACTGATTTCTGAAGTTATCACAGGACACGGTAAAATGACTATCAACTACTATCGAGGAAAAAAGTTGAGAAATACATTTTTTAAGTATTGTTCTTTTATTTTATCTCACCTGTGTATATTTTATCTCAACTGTGTATGCCTAATACATGTGTCTCTGAATTATTAAATGATGACATTTAAATGTTATACTCACCATAGTGGAATAAATTGGGAGTTCTTTGAACGGGTTAACAAGCAAGAGGATGTCCCCAATAAAAGTCTGCAAAAAAAGGTGTAAATAGTTCATGAACCACGTAAACAGAATCATTTAAGTCAAAATTACATAATTTAGAAATCATCGTGTGAAGTACGATGGCCAATAAAAATCATACTTTAATATTTTTAAATTGCTTCAAATATTTTTAATTTAAGAAATAGAAAATTCACATTCAAATTAAATGAAGCCGTTAGACTTTATTCAAACACATAATCAGTGAAATGGTTAGATTTTAAGAAATTCCTTGAAAGGGAATTTGAGAGAATCAGTCTCAGTAAACAAGATAGAAGTAAAATATGAATAAATTAATAGCCAGAAGATAATAGGATAGTGAACTCTATGCTACTACAGAATAGCAAAAGATATCATTGAAATGCTGTTAAAGCTCAAAAATCAAGATGTTCTTAATTAACAAAGGTCAAGTAATATATAATGTATTCTTCTCGAAAGTAGCACATATCTAGTGTTTTCATCTAGTTCATAGTCTTTGACTTTTAACTGGAGTATTAGAAACTTTATGCTTGCTGTAATTATAGACATGTAAGTTTGAATCTACATTTTGTTATTTCTATTTATTCCATCTATTTTATATATAC